GTTCTTCTCAGGGGCCAGAAACCCAAAATGTGTGGTAAACTGTGAAGCATCTGAGGTGCTGCTGTGCTGCTGTCCCTCCTCGTCCCTCCAGGGTGGCTGTGATGCCTCTGCCCTGCTGCTGCTGCAGAGGTCAGCTGCAAGCCATCAAGGAGTGCCCTCAGAGGCCACCTCTGAAGGTCCCTGAATGGCACTGGACGTCGTCTGGGCTCTGATGGGCCTGTCGGTGAGCCTGCGAGGAGACCAGGTGCAGGGTGTTCACACTTTCTCTCACGAGGAATGAAAGAAGCTCCTCAAACTCGGCTGGTTTCAAAAATGTAAGCCCATGGCCAGTAAGTTAAATGACAGTAACACGGATCATTTGGAAACAACATCATGAAGCTTCATGCGTGACTCCTGAGAACAAGGGCACCTTCCTGGATCCCTCAGCAGAGCTGCCACACTCACAAGCCACATGGAGACGGCACTGGGTCTGGCATGGAGCCCACACTTACGTCTCCCACTTGCTCAGCAAACATCCTTTATGGTCACTTTCTCTCCTTCTGTGCCCTTCTCAGTGGGTCACATCAGGAGGGACACGAAGCTGTTTTTCCATTACTGATGATGTTACATTTGATCCCCTGCTCAAGGCGAGCTCTGCCAGCCTTCTTCACTGTAAACACACCTTTCCCCTCTGTGCTGCAAGCGAGCAGGACGTCTGCTGGATTTCCCCATCATAACGGCATCATTCCCCATTGGAATTAATAAGTAATCTGTGGGGGAGACTGTGACTCTTTCTTTACTCCCCAAATATTTCACCAAATGGTTTCAGCATCCTTGATGGTCCTTGTCTGGACTGGTGATTATACTGGGGGTGGCAAAAGCACTTTTCTAATTCTGTTATAAACTTCTCCATTTATTTGCTCCCATTTTTCTAAAAGAAAAAGAGCTTTCTCCCCTGTCTACCCCCGGACATCCTTTCTTTAGAGTTATGTATTACATCCTATCAATTTCAACTCTCTTTTTCTGTTTAATATGTTACCATCCATTAATATCAATGTCTGCTTTGATGGTTAAATTATTCCAAATTTGGCCAGTAGGCAACTCTTTCAGCTGGCTTCTCTGTCATTTCTACAAGTCTTTTTACATTTTTGAGCACTTACTTGCTTCCTGGAATAACAAGATATTCTGTCTCACATTGTACCTCTCCTGCTCCAAGCCTGGCATGAGCAAATAAATGCTCCAAGGAGCCCTGGTTCTCAAACTTTGGGTCTCAGGACCCCTCACACTCTGAAGAATCACTGAGGAACATGAGAGCTATATTTACATCATACATACCTATCAATACATACCATCCCAGAAATTTAAAAAATTTAAAATATGTACTAATTTCTTTTAAAATAAATAATATATTCCTTACGTGTTAACCTAAATAACATATTTTAGTGAAAAATAACTATAATTGGTGGGCCGGCCTGGTGGCGCACTGCTACAGTGCGCCGCTTGGGAGTGCAGTGGCGCTCCCGCCCGAGGGTTCGGATCCCACATACAGACCGGTTCCCGCTCACTGGCTGAGTGAGGGGCGGGTGCGACACGGAGGGTTGCGATCCCGTTGCCGGTCCCGATCCGGTATGGGCACGACACTGAGGGTTGCGATCCGTTGCCGGACACGAAAAAAGACAAAAAAAAATAATAATAATAACTATAATTGGCAAAAGTAAAACATTTGCTATTAGCAAATTTATTATAGAATGGGAAAAGTGGAGAGTATGTTAATAGTTTTTCAGATAAAAATGAATATTTTTTAAACAACAGCAAGACTCAAGTTGTAGTTTCTTAAAGGTCGGGGTGACAGTAACTTAAAACTTACATGGATTTTTGTGCAAGTGAAAAGATACTGTGTGAAAGGAACGTCTCACATATGTGCCTGACACACAGCAGGCTCTCAATACGTGAGCCCTCTTCTTGTCTTTCTCCATTAAGAATGTGAACTAGAAATCGATAAGCATCTGAATCTGAAATGAGAACACCACAGAGATGATAAAGCAGACTTGACAGCAGGGTTTGTGAGGACAACAGAGGCTGCTCTGTGACTTCTGTGGTCGTATCCACACAATGTCCTCTGATAACGCAGACCAGAACGTTTCCAGCAATGACCAGTGGTGATTCCATTTCAAGAGGAGATGTTCTTGGGGAGAACTTCCAGCAAGAGCATTAACTTTGTGAGTTGACAGCACAGCTGCTCACAGGAAGATTCCTTGGAGTAGAAATAGTCTAGAGGCAGGTGGAGCACCCGGTCACCTCCACCACCTTCCAGCAAACCCATCCTCCTGTACTTCCAGACATCCTGATCTTGTCTGTCAGAGAGCAGCTGGTGTCACCTTTTATGAGGCTGTCTTCCTCCTTTGACTCTTTCATGAAGGTAATTTTTTTTTTCTTTTGGTGGCTGGCAGGTGTGGGGACCCAGAACCCTTGACCTTGGTGCTAACACTGTGCTCCAACCAACTGAGCTAACTGGCCTGCTCTCTCTACCTGACTTTTGAAAACATCTCCCCTATTCATTCTCACTTACACCTCGATTTCCTCACTTTTCACCTAGAATGAGTGCTGTGTGACTTGATCAAGTCCCTTAACCTCCCTGGTTACCAGCTCTGTTTTTACAAAATATAAGGTGTTGGATGAGCCAATTTGAACACCTGCAGGGCCTGGTTGACAATGGTAATGACACCTGGCTGGGCCTTGGGGCCTCGAGTAGCTGAGAGTGGCTCCGGCCAACAGCCAGAAGAAAACAGAACCTCAGTCCTACAACCACAGGGACAGAATTCTGCCAACAGCCCTGTGAGACCTGATGCAAAAGACCCAGCCCAGCCATATCCAGATCCTGACCGACGAACACTAAGAGATGGAAAATGGTGTTCTAAGTCCCTAGGTATGCAGTAATTTGTTATGCAGCAGAAAATACACTGGTGAATGGGTTTTGGGGAATTTGTGTCCTTTTCAAAGCTGTGCACGGTATTTGTGTGGTGGGGCAGACATGTGCATGTTTCTTGTTTTGGAGAGAACTGAATGCGTTCATTGGATTCTCTGAAGAACACATGCAGGAGTCAAAGAAGAAAAACCTGGAATTGATCAGTTGGGCACTGGGTGCCATGAACTCAGCAGAGTCCTCCTCCAAAAACATGGCAGCAGCTGGGCAGGGAGCATTCAGGGCTATGCTTGCATCCACTTGCTTACCACTTCTAGCGGTGCAAAGGAAACACTGAATCCAGAGCACTGCAGTCAAGTGTGCAGGGGCTCAGAAAACATTGGTTTCTTTTTTCTAGGCACAATTGTCTTAATATTAGCAACCTAATAAAAATTCCTCACATCCTTGAGAGCTTCCTTCTTTTTGTCTTAATTGATGTGGTTTACAGAAAATAAATTACACAGAGTGAATATTTTGCATTATTGTAGGAGATAAATTGATTGAATTATTATCCAACTTCAATCGCACTGGGATAAACAGATTATCGTATTTATGCTGACATATTAGGGACAAGATTTATTTGCTCTCATTTTCTAGAAGACACATTTTTCTTTCCAGAATTAGAATGATACATAAAACCAATTAACCCTGACCATCCCATCTGCTCAGTTGTAGCCCTATTCCTCTGTATTTTTAAGGTCAGGAAAATGGATGTTGAGGGTATCACAAAATAAAACCAGATGAGGCTACGGAAGGAAGAATAATCTGCAGGGATTCTGTGACATCAAGTAATGAATCTACAAATTAGAAGCCTCCCTTCCCATCTATAGTGTATACACTTGCTGGGTATGGGGAAGCTGTGAGTGGTTCATAATTGAAAGACACAAATTGGGTGTTCGAAATTAATAGAAGAAATATGAGTTTGTCAATATTTATTTTCATGTTAGCAAAACCTGTGTCATTAATTAAGAGGCACTTGAAATGGGAGGATTACAGCCTGATATGTCCTAGAGCCCAGGTCCCATGAGGCTCATGGAGGAAGCAGGAGACCAACATTAATGCCCCTGAAGGATGACAGCCACAGACCAGTGTCTTGGTGGCACAAATTCCTCCTGTGTGGTGAGGGGGTCCCTGACCATGCCAACACTTTACATTGACTTCCGAGAGAGGGGGAAAAGAGGAGAGCAGCAGAAAATGTGCAGGATGCCCCCCAGAGACGATGTCTCCTCCAAGGCCATCAAGAGTGTGGAGCAGCAATGCTCCAGAGCTCCCACTGTGCAGAGTGGCCTTTCCCCAGAACCCCTCTCTTGGGTGTGGCTTGCATCCTGTTTCAGCCACACGAAGACGGTGAACCAAGTGATGACAGCACCATGTGCCCACCACCGTTCACTCTTGAGGCCATCCTGGCAATGAGGCCTGAGTCTGGCCCAGAGGCTCGAGGCACTGAACAGCCACTAGTCCCAATGTGGCTGATCTCCAGAACCAGAAATGATCCTCTCTGTTTCAATCTGCTTCTAGAAGCTTCTATTTCATGGCAGATACACCTCTTGGGGACCTGGAAGGAGATTGTGAGGGGAGGGGACCACGGGGACGGCTTGGGCATGTCCAGAGGTTTCCTGTCCTCTCCTTCCATGTGCAGCTCCAGTGCTGTGACCTGCTGGGTGCAGGAGGATCAGGCAGCTGCTGGAGCACCATTGCCAGCTAGTGACGCCGCACAGCACTTAGGCCTTATGCTGTGTCTGTGACACAGTCTATGCATGGATCTTCGCCAACCGAACCATGCGAAACTGTTATAGAAGTCAGTTATGAGACCTGGCACACATCTCAAGCTGTGTGGTGGAGCAGGTGGTTTTACCACCATAAAACCATTATTTTCATGAATACAGCTAATGCCCTCTTAAAATGTCATACCAATTGATTGATGCTTTTAAAAAACTGAGTAATACTAAAAACTGGTGACTACTTCCATGACAAAAAGAGAGACAAACCAGGAAAAAACAGGTTCTTGATATTATTCTCAAAGTAAAGAGGGAAAAAAGAGGAAGAAATTCAACTATAATCAAACTACATAAACTAGAACTTTTTAATACTCATAAAGCATTCTTAGAAGAGAGACTTTCAGATACAAGGTGATTTAAAACTTTATAAAAATATGTAACAGCTTCACACTAGTTTATTTAAATTAACAGAATGTCCATTTTCAATATTTACAGATATTGAAAAAACAGAATTATGTTTTAGGTAATAATTCAAGACATGTAATTGCAAATACGTGAAAAATTCCAATTTCGTCCCAATATCTACTTAAAGTTTCAGATGACATCTTACCTGCTATGTACAAACACATGAATAAATAATATGGCAGAAATGTCTTCAAAGTTCCCAGGATTTGGGTTACAAAAAAAGAATTGGGAATTTAATCTTCTTTGTGTATAAGAATTATCTCTCAGCCCAGTTCATATTTGTCTTTTATATTTTCTTGTTTAATATTAGCTCTTCTTAAAGAAAAACACTGATTTTACTCACTGTTTTTCTCAGGAAGGATATGTGTGATCCAGTAATTAAAGAAAGTTGAGATTACTCTGGCCTGGTCTGGAAAACAAAAAACCAAAAACAAAACAAACAAAAATAAAAATCATAAATTATTATTTTGTAGATATTAGCCTTTGAGCCCAAAGCAAACCCTGAAATAACCTAATGGAATGCAACTTTGGTATAAAGATGACATTGGTAGTGACACACCACCCGTGTGAATCAAACATTATGTGACAAACATGGCCAGATGGTGGCTCAGCTCTGGACATTTGTATTTTACTTGGGTCTGATCTGTGCAGGCTCATGAGTTCTATCAGACCTGAACAGCATCATCCCACAGTACAATACCACAGGTAATCTCATCTGAAAGAAAACCATACACAAATTGAACTTAAAAGGAAACAGAAGTTTATGTCAAAGAAGTTTATGAACAACTAGAAAAAAGTTAAAAGTAGAATCCTAAGACAATATAGGAATTAAACAGCATCCACATTTCAAATTTCAGGGAAGCTAATACTATGCCAAAAAGCAAGTATTAGCCGAAAGCACGCTACCAAGGAGATGGCTGGTCTTTGACATAACCTGCCAACCTTTTTATCCTCTCACACTGTGAGTAAAGATTGTCCTCGAATGTCAGGCTTTATAACTTGTACAGACTATACAAATGCTGTCACCTAGAATCTAGTTTATGATGGACTTCTCACATTAAGCCCCAAAGAGAAGAGAGCAAAACAGACATACAACCTTCCCAAGTCTGGCTCAGATCCTGGCCCCGGGGAGTGAGTTAGTTCACTGCCACAGATGCTCACATTCACTTGGGAACTGCCATCACAGGGGATCTGAGGCGCCACCAACCCCAGCAGAAGCACACTTCAAAGAGTTTCCCAAGGCAGACCCTATTCTGCCCAGAGGCAAGGTGCCTGATTTCTGTAAGCAACAGTCAGGATAATAAAAACGTAACTTCAATACAGAGAAGTAAAGGAGGATTAAAGGTGGAAATTGCTACAGCACCTTATTGGTGCATGGCATGTGATATAAATTCAAGGAATGGCAGCCATTATTTATGATAACATAGGTATATGATAAAATGTAATATGTTAAGTGAGATCTATCAGTTTTACTGAACACCAGCTGTGTCCTAACACTGTAAAAACACATGCATTTAACTTGTGAAAAGATTGTCTACATCTCAGTTGAATGAAGCATCTGTGATTTAGAAAAGATAATCACTGAGCCAGTGAAGAAAGGAGCTACAAGTAGAAAACACTCTATCCCTGCTTTCAAAATGCTGTTAACTTCTATGCTTATCTTACAGAGATGAGAGATACTGCTACTAATTAGACTTCTAAGCTACCTTTATGAAAAAGAAAACAATTTCAAAAAGTTACATAACTAAATCTGCATTAAACAAATCCAATATTTGAAAACTAAGCTTCATTGTTTATAAAATTTTATTTCACAAAACAGCTTGACATAGGAAAACTTTAAATGCATATCCTACATGCACTCAAAGGGAATACATTTTTACAAAAAATGGGTTCATACTTAAGTTTTAGTTCTATCAATTGCTTAAAGTAAATGTGCTTGTAGACAAAACTTGCCCAAGAATTTTAATATAAGATAACAATGATTTTAACATTGGGGATTCTGTTAAATACCCAACAGCTGTCAAAACTCTTTGATGCATTTCAGAACATTGCATAAGAAAAGCTTTGAGAAACACAATAAAAATTATAAAAGTCTTAAAAGTCTTAAATTCAAAATGTCAGTTTATTTTCATCTCATAAAAATCTCATATTAGTTTAACATAAAATTGGCTTTTTGCAGTTAGACATAAAATTTTATTATGGAAATCTTAATAATACAGTAGGCCTGACACCCCCCAAAAAATAAAGAAATGCTGGCCTGTGAGTTAAATAACTCCTGGTTGCTCCTTTCCAGGATGACGACCACTGCTCCAGCGGCCCACGTCTCTCCCTCTCTTTAGGCTTCTCCCCACCAGCAGCTGCACATGCTGCTATTTCATTTTGACTCCACTTCCTCCTCTGGTCTTATGTCTTGATGTCCCTTGCAGCCAACCCTCCTGCAGGGTCAACTTTACTTGCTGTCTCCAGTTACTCTTCTATTCCCTAATGAAGCCTCAGCCCCCACGCTACTGCTTTGTCCAGGTGACCACCAGCCATCATCACAGCCCTCAGTCTCTCCCTGGAGGTCAAACAGGTATTTCAAATTTAACTCCCTCAACACTGAGCTCCTGGTGGGTCCCCTCATCCCCAGACTCGCTCCTCCTAACAGTCTTTCCCCCTACTCATCAGCTATTTGGTTCTTACCATGGCTCAGGCCAAAAACCATGTCTCCCCTCCCATACCCAGTCAGCCAGCAGATCCCACTGGTTCTTCCTCCAAAATCCACCTGGAATTTGGCCACGCCTCACCATATTACAGCTTCACCCAGGTCTAGCTGCAGTCGTCTTTCACAAGAGTCATTATAAAGCACTTACTCGGTCTCCACTCTTGACCTCCTTCCATCTAGTCCCAACAAAACAGCCCAGCTATGTGCAGAGAGGGCACCGCTCCAGCCACATGGGCCTCTCGCTGCTCTGCAGCACCCCCAGCATGTTCCTCTCTGAGCGCCTGCGCCTGGCTGCAAGAATGTCCCCTCCTGCTTTAAGCTTTTCTCCACACCTGATCTGTGAGATCTGTTACATATGTTACTCATCTTGCTGATTTTGTCTCCCCCTCAAGGCGCCAGCACTTGAGGGCACTGATGAGCCCCAGAGCCCAGAGGAGCGCCTAGGCACTAGTGGACGCAGGATAAGTATCTCACCAGATAAGGTGATTCACACATGTGTGAGGTTCCTCCCAGTTACCCCAACCCACGATGCTCTTCAACTTATGAATCGAAGTACTTACTGTCCCTGCCATCCATGTGTTTGTTCACTATACCAGTGCCATATTATAATCGCTTTATCATTACCTAACCTGATTTGCCATCTGGCTTTTTTAATATGTCAGTATTGACTCTTCAGCTACACTAAGAGGTTTCTGAGGATGGAAGCCATGCATTATACTGACTTTGAAACTCCCTCAAAGCAATCTGCACAATCTCTTTCACTCGTTCATTCAGTAGAAAACCTGTCAACACCCACCTGAGGCAGACCTGGTATTCTGCACTCAGGGGGTGTGCAGGTAGAGCAGCTGTCCAAAAACAGCCCTGGTTTCCTGATTTTCAGTGTTTGCAGATTTCTGTGGCCTAAATATTCCCACCATGGCCCACATCACCACACATGGCGTGAGGAAAGCAGGAGCACAACTGGCCCCAGCATTCTACAGTTTGCATGGAATGAGTACCCAAGAAAGGTGAGGAAGTAAACAAAAGAATGCAACAGTAACGCAACACTCTTTCTAACTGTAGAGGTTCAATAAGGCACACCAAGATATTCGGAGGATAGAAGGAATTTGCCTTCTACCAATACCACAGAGAAGGAAAAGGGGAGAAACAAATTCTTTCTCTCCTATTTAAACTTGAGAAAAATTGGCTTTAAGAGCTGATACCTCACAAGTCTAGAAAATCAGATTGCACATGCATTTTTGCATATATTATATGAAACATTTTTACATCGAGCAGAGGTACAGGAAGCCCATTCCTCTGTGGGACGCTATTCTCCCAAGCCACATGCTGTTGTCATATTTTCCAATTCATTGCTGCCTTGGTGGGGTATACATTTTCAGAGATAAACCCTGATGAGAATATTTTAAGCAGGAGAATGAATAAATTGCACAGTACTTACCAGGAGGCATCATGCAACGTTCTGGGAACACTGCCAGAGCACCCTTCAACCTCTCAATATCCTGGAAAAGTAATAGCGTTTTCATGTGGTCCAGAATGAACACATCTGAGGGAGGCAAGCTGTGGGACTCAAGACGGTGAAACAGCTCTCCAGTGGCCTCCAGGCAGATGGCTGAGTCTATGTCTTTGGAGTTACCTAAATGAAGTCAGTATCACTTAGAAACAGTTTTATTTTATGTTTATGAACTAAAAATAAACTTTCATCTCTTAAGGATAGCCTCAAACATACGAGGGTACTTTTCCACTCAGAATGAGCTGTCTAGGATATAAAAAGCTATCAGGAGAGAAAATCAGAATAGAACTTTGAAAAGTAAATGAGGACAACAAAACGCTGCTTTTTGAATGACTATGGAAACCTGTTGTCTGTTCATATGTTTGATCTTTTAAAACACTTTCCAAGTACAACATGCAATTCAAAGTCATGAACAGCAGCAGGATAAACCAGACAATAAAACTAAGTTCTCCATATTTATGTCATGTATCTTTAAAAGAAAAAAAGAGTAAGATTGTTGGCTGTTTAGGGTAAATCAAGGAAAACTATAAAAACAAGATCCTGGCTTCTATTGCTTCCTTTGAAAGGACAACCATCAGTCTGTTGTTGGTCTTGTGGAGATGTGTCTTTCTTTCCTGCCTGCTTTTAAGATTTTTCTTTATCGATGGTTTTCCGCAGTTTGAGAGTAATGTGCTTAAGTGTGGTGGTTTTTGTATTAATCCTACTTCGAGTTTGCAGAACTTCTTGAATCTGTGACTCTATGTCCTTCACTGATTTTGAAAAACTCCCACTATTGCCTCTTTGGATGTTGCCCCTGCTCCGTTCTCACTCCTCTCCACCTCAGACTCCAGGGAAATGGATGGACGTTTGGCCTTCTCCCTCTTTTCTCTATTTCCCATCCTTTCTCTGTCCATCCTTCAGTCTGGAGACTTTCTTTCAACTGTCTTCCCAGTTACTAATTCTTTTATGCTGAATGTAATCTGCCATTTACTCATCTTTCAAAGTTCTGAATTTTCAGTTATTTTATTTCTCAGGTCTAGAATTTCCATTTGGTTATTGTAATAGATTCAAATTACCTGGTTAAATTCTCCAATTTTCATCTTTACTCCACTTTCTCCCTATTTTCTTGAGCATCTTTATCACAGTTACTTTAGTTCCCTTGTCTGATAACATCAATATCTTCCACTCCTGTGGCATGCTCCCACTGACCTTTTTTCTCATGGTTTTCAGTTATATAGTCCTGCCTCTTGGCATGCCTAGTAAATTTTTATTGAATGTGTATGAAAAATTATGGATAATGGTATTTTCCTCCAGAGGCATCACCCTTTGCTCTGTTAGGCAGATAGAGTGGGGGAGGACCACCTAGAGGCCTTCAGGGGCTCACCCGGCCACAGGGTGGACTGCATGTTTGGCAAAGGACCACCTACATCTGAACTGCCCTTGTTCGAGGGCTGGGACAGTCATTGTCTGCTTAGTGTCTCAAGACAGTCAAGAAGCTCACTGCATTATTCAGAGGCTCTTTCTTTACTTGGCTTCCCACCATCGCACCACACAGTTTCAGAACTTGGCAAAGGTTTTAAGGAAAAACCAGCAGAGTGCTGGGTTCTGTTCTCCGACCTCTGTCCCACCAGCCGCTGCACTCTCTGCGCTCTCTACTTTTTGTCTCCCTAGACCTGTGAGACTGACAGACACTCTGTGTTTGTCTGTCTCCAGGGCTCCAAGGGTTCTTTCTCCACACTCTCACCCAATGCCAATCAGAACTGGCAAATGCCTTGAAGGAAAATGTGGCTATAGGATGCTGGCTCACCTCCCCATGTAGTTTCTGGGATTTTATCCTCTTACGGGCTAGTTTCCTTAGTAGCTCATAAATTCCTTTAACACATTTTTTTGTTTATATCTGGTGTTATCTAGTTATTCTTGGCATGATTGTTGTTCTGCCACAGCAACTCTATCATACACAGAAAAGAAAACCTACTGAGATCTTTCTGAATCTTACTTGCAGTGTGTTGCTATGTCTTCCTCTTTGTGTCATCTGGATATTTACATTTTCAATTTGTTAATACAAACTGCTGATGAACAGACCAAAGAGGAAAAGGCTAAGGTCACCTGCAACCATATTCTCAGTTAAAAATGATCTATTAATAATGGTATTTTTGCATCATTGTTTAAATCAGTTATTTACCTCCCAAATTATTATATAGTCAATACATCTCAATCTTGTTCATAAGACTAGTGTCAAATATCTTGTTGAAAAATGGATCTACTAAACCCACCAAGTTCCCCTGAATCTTCTAGTTATGTCATCAAAATAGAAAAGCACCTTACTCTGCATGCTTTTGCTGTGGGGGTAGCCACGTCTGCACTGGCCTCTTTCTAATTAGGTCAGTTGTTAACAACAGGTAATACAAATGTAAGCAATAAATCTACTTTCATTTTTCATATCTTACATCAATACAAATAGCTGCTCAAAAATGCTTTCTGAAAAATTAACCATAAGTTATACGTGGAAGAGTAAAATAAAATATGCCCTAAAGGAGAAAGGGGGTTTCTTTTACTCCTCTATCAGCTTATGAAAACAAACATGAGCTCATCAAAACCTCCAATCTGGATTTATCTTTTATATAGAAATATAGCCTAGATTACCAAGATAGTACAAAATCTGATTTTAGAGAAATAAAGAACACGAGGACAACCCACGTTTGGAGCCACAGCGTTACTGGGGCTACCTGCCTTGTCCCTTGACACGCCCTGAGCCCCATGCCAGTCCAGTTCTTTGGTGGAAATAATTTAAATATTGTGATCTTTGCCTTGAAACAAATTATTTCGAATATTTTAATGTGTTTTATATTTTAAACATTTAAATATTTTACTATATTTGTTTATTTTTCCAAATTTTAAGTGGATGCCATTATTCAAGAGAAAAACAGGACAAAACATACCTTCATATAAATAAATTTCTTGTGTTGACTTCAGAAAGTTTAGAAAACTGTCTGCCTTTTCACTGGTAATTCTAACATCTTCCTTGTCGGCATCTGTGACGTCTTCCTCGCTGGCGTCTGTGACATCTTCCTTGTTAGTGTCTGTAACTTCCCAGTCAGAACCTCTTACATTTCCTTGTTCACTGTTGCTCTCCTCAGGCTGGTACATGAAGCTGATTCCAGAGGCCTTTGATACTAAGCCAGCTGCTTTCTTCCTTCTAATTTGCTGTTTCTTTTTCAGCTTCCTTTTTTTGTTTTTGCTTATTGTGGGGCCATCTGTGCACTGTGGCTGTAATTTTTCTTGTAAAAGACTCTGCTGTTTCTCTAATTTTGCTTGTTCAACATGGATGTTATTGGGATTCTTAAAATTTTTCTTTGATTTGTGCTTTCTAATTCTTTTTCTCTTTGGTTGATCATGAGGATCCTGACCTGTTAAAAAAAATTCAAATACAAACAGTTTCAGTACAATGGAACCATAACAAACATATTAGGTTGAATAAATTTTCCATCAGGCTCTTACAGTATTAGAAGAAAAGGAATTTAAACTATTTCAGTGATTCTTGACTTTATACCTCACAGTCATTACACTATCAAAGATCCTGGGGCTAATCAGAATATAAATTTACAGTCTACTTTTTTTCCCAAAAAAGGAACGTATAGAGGATATATACTCATGGTTGTTGCAATTATGATATACGGTGGGTTTTTAAGGACGGAAGAGTTGTTGCAGTTTTATTGGGGGTAAAATGTCATTCCTATGGCCTTGGGGGAAAAACCTATGAATTTTTATGTTTTTTACATTTTACTTTAACCTTTCAAGAGTTACTTGTGTGTGAGAATAAAAAATAAATAATGGTGACTTGCCCATCTGAATCAGGAACAGGTCACATTTTGAAATGAAGATGAAGTTTGGGTTCCAGGTTTGCAGAAGTTGGTATGTAAATGAAATACGTCAATGGCATGCTGGTAAACGGTTAACAACCAGCTCTCTGAGTTGATCCATTTGCCAGCTTCCCTGGTGTAAGTATGGCTGATCTCAACGTACACTGTGATGTCAAGGCATGGGAAGAAACACGCACAGTTGATTAGAGTGGCACACCACTGAAATGGCACCCAGGGAGAAGAGCATAGGGAGGAAGCACAGAGGGTAAACCGTGGCACACAGGGCTGGCCAGGAATGGCAGATCCGAAACATTGGGAATAAGGAGAGAAGCATAAATTACTACTAGCATGACAAAGAAGGTCTCCCGTGAATAACTGGTATCGGATAGGTTTGACAGAAGACGGCGCTTAACCCTAGCGGGAAATTGAGAGGAACATCACTGCAAGAATCCTGCACTGCATCTAAGCTGGGTCTGCACACCCCAATGGTTGTTAAGAACACACACCAAGTCCACACCACACCTGCCTGTGTCGTTGCCCACACAGGACTCTTTGGCCCTGCCTGAGCAGATCTAGAACTGCAAAGCTTGCCACTGTATGATGCAGGATCTTTTTTTCAGACAATTCTCATTTTTAGGAAGTTCTTGTTTGATTTTTCTAAGCTGCATACTACCCCATCACAGATTACTGTGAGGAAACAAAATTAAGTAATGTGTATGAAATTTGTGATACAGTGTATGATGGTGAGATGTTATTATATTGAACAAAAACCTGCTTTCCTATAATTTCTACTCAAGGGCTTTAATTTTACCCTCTATAATTAGACAGAAAATGTCCAGTTTGTCTTCCGTACTGTAGTTCTTCAAAGTAGCATTCATATTTCACCTAAGTTTTCTCAATAACCTCAACAACTCCACTCGCAGAGCTGGGGGAGCCACCTGGCTGAGCATGTCCAAGATATAACCCCTGCTGGCTACAAAGCCCTGGGAGCCATCCCTTGTCCAGGACACTATGAGTTTATGTATGCAGCCTCGACTCCCACCAGTTTGATTAAGCAGACACATCTTGCTTCCCTCACCCTGAAAATACATAAAATAAGTACTTCATTAAGTATTAAACCTCTCCTCTTTCATCAGACACAGACATCCCACCACCAGCTTTGCATCACTGTTAAATTAAACACTGTGTTGTGGAAATGGTGACACCATTTCACTGCTACCTTTTGAATGAGAGAGTTCTCAGTGTTCTCCTGACACACTTGGCAACCATATCTATGAAACCTATTGCTACTTCAAATTTGGCAGGAAGCCAAAACTTCTCCTCATAAGATCACAATATAAGATTATTGCCTAGGCCATAATTAGTACATTTTATCTCTTCCCTCAAATAAGAGTTTTTAAAACGGTATTTTTCTATTTCATTTGCAAGTGTTAATCGACATCAGGACCTGCTAAGTGTAGCTGACAGACCAATGCTGGTTCACTAATATCTTCAAATAGCTGAACCTTGAGCTGGCTATAAAATGTTAATGTTCAAAAATTACCACTGTTTCTGGAATTCGTTTTTTTTAATTTCTCAGGTTCAGTTAAAAAAAGACAAAATTAAATCTCTCCTCATTTGTGTCTATTAAAGATGTATGCTTAGACTTCATTAATTCCAGGAAAAGTAATCCGTAGGGTATTTTATCATCCCAAAGTAAACCCATGTGAGAACCGATGTGACAGACCTTTGGGGAAGGGACAGTCCTCACTATCCACTAAGAACAACACACACAGGGCTTCTCCCGTCATTCTCTGGGTTCCTCATGACTATCTTCCTTCTTCATAGGCTCTTTCAGTCTAGCTGACCACCAATTTTATCCTGTGTTTCTCTCTCTCTCTGCAAGTGGTGAGACCACATATAAACTGCTGCCTGGCTGAGAATGATTACGCTATTGATCGGTTATTCTCAAAAGACTATAAAATAGTAATTTAAAAAGGTGGAGATGGCAATAAAAAATTCTATAAAATGATATGTATATCATACTTTTTCATATGAACATGTGTATGTGTGTATATTTTTTAAAAGGGAGACACAATATACATTAAAAAAAGATATTGGAAGTCTACATCCCAGGATGTTAACTTAACTGTGGCTGTCTTCCAGTGGTGTCAGTAGGGGGGACTGTGTTTTTTCTACTGTACTTTTCTTATTTCCAAATTTAGGGCATTGAGAAGATACTGCTTGAATAACAAGGAAAACGTATGTTAAACTTGATGAAATTAAGACATGTCAGACTTTATGAGATGCCACTTAATCCTGCTTAAAGAGAAACTTACAGTCTTAAGTACATCAGGAAATAAAAAAAGGCTAAAAATCAGTGATGTAAGCATTCATCTCAACAGGCTAGAAAATAACAGCAAATTAAACTCAACGAAAGTAGAAGGAAAGCAATAACAAACATAATAGCCAAAAATAAAGAATGAGGAAATAGTGCAATAGAGAGAATTCAATAAGCACTGAAACTTTTGAAGAAAGAAACTGGACAAACTACTGGCAAGACGGGTTAAGAAGAGAAGAGAGAAGGTATAAATGACCAGCATCAGGAGTACAAAACATGCTAATACATATCCTGTCCGTGTCAAAAACCTAATGAAACGATACCACAAACAACTCTATGCAAAAAAACTAGATAATCTGTTTGAAATGGAGAATACTGAGAAAAGTACAATGAACACACAAAGAAATAAAAACCTTAATAGTCCTATCTCTATTTTAAAAACTGAATGTGTAGTTGAAAATAATCCCACGAAAGAACTTCAGGTCTACGTGGATTCACCTGAGACCTACTAAACAGCTAAGGAAAAACACAACACCCACCTTACATAAACATGCCAGAGAACAGAAAAGACAGGCACCAGTTACAGTCCACTTGCAAAGCCAGCATCATCTTCATTCCAAAACCTGACAAGGATGTCTCAAGAAAGGAGATCCACAGGCCAATCTCCCTTATAAACATCGCTACAAAAATTCTAAACAAAATATTAATAAATACACTCCAGTGTTTTCAAGTATTTGATCATTTTTGACATCAATATATGATAAGATCTCATACCAAACTAGAAATAGAAAGGAAAATTCTAAATCTGACATGGATATCTACAAAAATGGACAGCTCACATCACACATAATGGTGAAATGCTGAAAACCTCTCCTCTGACACTCAGAAAGAACAATGCTCACGGCCATCACTCGTGGTCACTTCTATACTGGGGTCTAAGCAGTGCAAAGGTGAGAAGGAGATAAAGCGTGAGCATTAACCACTGATGGCATTATTGTGTACACAGAAAATCCAGAAGGATCCACACACAAATGCTCCACCAGCAGGTGAATGCACAGACGGCGCGGTGGCATACTGTTCATCAGGGACAAGCCACCAACACACAACTGCGCAAACCGCAAGGCCATGACAGTGAGAGAAAACCTAGAGCACACCTCCTAAAAAACATGCAGGTTCCATTCATATAAAGTTCCAGGATATGCGAGCTAACCCATAGGGGCAGAAAGGAGCAGAGGGGCTTCCTGGATCAGGCACAGGGAGACTTGGTGGTGACAGACAACGTGCATTATTTCAACTGCAATGATGCTTCAGGGGTGATACTCTGGTCAGAACTTATGAAATTGTACACTCTAAGCTTGTACAGTTTACTGTATGTTCATTACACCTCACCAAGCTGTTCAGAAGGACCACAGAGCCAGGCCCTGGCTCTGCAGTGCTTGCTCCGTGGCCGCTGAATCCCGTGCCCCCAGTTGTGAAGTGGGGAAGTAGGAAGCTACCCCATTGTCCCAGGGTCATTCGGCAGACAGAGGCAGCACCCAGGAGGCTGCCGGGACACGCCGGCCTGAGGAAGTGGCACACACTTAGGTAAGGTGCGGCCTGCAAGTTGTGTCCCCAACTTCAATGTCCCTGCTCATGGCTGTTCCATTCCTGTGGCTTAAAGTGTCCAGGTGGAGAAGGGCTTCTAAAGTTTCTACAAAATGAAGCATTGGATACAATAACTTACACACAAGCTCATACAGAAAAGTAACAATCACTAACTATCATATTTAATACTAATGCCTACAATTGTAGCGAGATGACCACTGTGGGTTACAAACATCAAAAAACTGAGAAAGAAGATGCCTATGAATACTTTTCACAGATGAGGTGAAGGAGAAAAGTCTCCTTGGGGACTGGAGTCTTAGAAAGAATGCAACGGTAATAATGACTTGGAGGAGTAAATGTAAACACAGTTGCAAATCTGTTTCTCAACTCAATTTATGCAGGGTGAACTTCACTGGCAGTGCCACCAGAAGCCACAGAACTCATCTGTTTTGCAATTACTGAACTTCTGTTCATTCAG